TATCCTTTACAGGAAGCTTGTCAAAATCATACCACAATGATTGGAGCCCAAGTAATCCAAAAAACTGCAATTGAGAAGTGGATGGTAGCTTGGGTCCATGACAAAAGCCAAACCCTTTTATCTGCCAAAAATACAATTGGAAAAAGATTAGAAAGTCTATCCAACCACTCCCAATGTCATCAAAAATAGCATTTCTTACAGATGCATGTTCTCCATCTCATACCATATTAAGATGTTGCAGAACTTCTAATTTCTGAAATTGGACCATTTTAATTATCTTAAGCATTACATTGCAAATAACATATAAGCCCAAAATTAGGTACAACCTCATTTTGTATTAGAAAATTACTATACTCGTACTGTCTGATATCCATTCTGGTAGTATTTACTAACTAAAAAGGGATAACTTTCTCTCTGTTTTATGGCTCTGTTATGCTTTCATGCTCTTCTAAAGTATGGACTTCTGTTTTTGAGCTAAGTTGATCAAGTACCAACCAAAATAAGATCACAGTAAGAAAAATAAGGTAGCTGCACATAGTTTGAACTTTGGTCAAGGGAATAAGGGAGAAATTGGAGACAGAGTGAAAAATCAGGTTGACAATGCCTATAAGATTGCGGTCAGCCTTTTGAATTCCTTCTTCCTAACTTCCCCTCTCTTTCTATCGCCACCCCTTTCTTCTTTTTAACTCAAATGTGGTACATTGCCTCCTTTTACTGGAAAGAAAAGCGCCAAAAAGTAAGGAAATAAGTTGAGCCAGATTTCTCGTGACTATCCAAGAATTCTAATATTCGAATTGTGGATTTTAGCGGTAAAGCTTATCTGATTTTATTTATTTTTAGAATCTTTTTATCAGGAGATCCACAGAATTGATTAAATATTTCTTTTAGTGTAACATTCAGCTATGGAAATGTGTCCCTCAGTTAAGTTGTGACAACAGAAAGTTATATCTTCAGGAAAAGGAACATAAGAATAAAAATGGAGGACTCATACCACTGAGTATGTATGTACGGAATTTAGTCTGATAATCTTTAAGAAGAATTGATTTTGGATCTTCCTTCCATCCTCGGCTGACATAAGCCAGAGCACTAAGAGCCATTATTACCACTGCACTGGACGGAGCAAGCAAACTTGTCTTTTCATGACCACCAATTAACCAGTTACCAACCACTTGGCTTCCAATAAAAGATGCAGATTCAACAAAAGTCATTAACCAAAACATGTCATTCACTGAATCCTGCCTCTGCTCAAGCTGCAAAATGATTATAAGGATAACTCGTCTTACTCTACTATCAAAGATTCAAAATCATGAAGAAATCTGAAATCCGACTGTGAAGAAGCGAGAAAAATGTTCAAATATAATCACAGATGCTGCTACTGCATGAATAGGCCCAAAATAGGTTAATGTAGTTGGCAAAGAAAGAAACTCTAAAAGACTATAGATCCACACTCCCCCACCCTAACCCCTTAGCATTTACTACATTTATTCATCTTTTTTTTTTTTTGGTACAATAAAGATTTCCTAGATTTATTCATTTTAAGAAATGGATAAGAATTTTGAGTTAACAAGTCTTCATAATTGTACTTCCCCCATGAAATAGCAAATCATATAATAATAACAAACAGAGATTCTGAAGACAAACCTTATCATGCTCAACAACCATCCATGTCTCAAAGTTGAAGAAAAATATCGTAGAGGCAAGCGAGAGACAGATGCTAGCGAGCCAAATACTTGGATGTCCAGTCACCCTCCGCCATATGGCAACAAAAAGATGCAGCAAGCAAAATAACAAGCTGACTTTTCTCTGGCCACTGCATGAAGAGAGACAACATAATGATAAGTCTGACATATGGTATTCTTGACTTATCAAAAAAATGATTTATCACAATTTTGAGAACGATAAACGATTGAAAATAATAATGATAATCATCATGGCCCAATACCATTTAGTACTTTGAAACATATTCTGGTCAAACACATAGCTTCAAGTTCAAGCTTTGTTGGACAGTTCAGAGGAAAAATGATCTCATAGGCCAAAAAGAATGCATCAAAGGAACGTAGATCAGATTGATACTTCATATCTCCCAAAATGGAAGTTCTATTTCATTTCAAAGTTGAACCAATAGTCTAAAAATTTGAATTTATGATTTATGGAACTCCAAAAGAATGAAAATGGCAACTTGCAGTATACCATAATGGTTATGCAAATAGAGACGGAACATGGTAAACACAGGAAACTAGGCAGGTACCCTTACATCAAATCTGAGAGTATTCCCAAAAAGGTACCGACAAAGAGAGCAGTTGCGTATCCAATACATAGAGAGATGACCATCTGGTCCCTACTAATGCCATGGAACGCTAAGTCGTACTCCCCAAATACTGCCAACAAGCCTTCCATTACTGTAAAAAGTTAAATAAATAAACAAATGATTTTGAATCCAATCGATTATAAAAAAAAGACACACTTATTATATTGAGGACGTAATGAAAAAGGGAAAGCATGCCCTTTTTTTATGCAATATGTGATTTGTGCGTACAGCTTAACATGTGCTCTATCATCAGTAATTACCATATCTCTATCAAGTTAAATTAATAATTGACAACTCTGTGGTGTCAGCTCAGCCTTAGCATAATATGCTAATAAACAGATTACAAAGGGAGGAACTTGTATCAGTATCACAATTCACACTCCACGTTCGATGTAAAGTTCCCCTATCAACACTTAACTCTATCTGTTAAGATAGCTTCATTGAGTCTTGAATAAACTTTTGAATTTGATTTATATAAATTTGAATAGATGTTTATTAACTCTACTATAACTACAGGATACTCCACTATTGAGAACTCCGTTCATCTGAGTGATCCACAAATGAAAGAAATATCTAACTTGATAAAATGCTCAATGTAGCAACGTACAAATTAAGAGATAGTCCATCTATCCAATTAGTTTGAAACTTCAACTTGACCATTTTCAGAGCTAAGTCAGACTAGTTTAATTCATTTCTTTTCCAAGTTAAAATTTACACATCCAGAACCTGCTAGAAGTTTCATTTTTTCTCCTTAGACAAAAAAGAGGGTAAATATCAAACATTAGTAATAGAGGAAATGTGACAGTCAACAAACAGGGAAACATGTAAAGTTTACTACTTAGCACCAATTTTAGCAGCAAGTAGATTCTATGAGTTAATTAGCACAATGACATTTCCTGATAATACATTCAATGGTCAGACAAAACAACTCGGAAAACAACGTCACCTGAAGAAAGCGAATAGAGTAAAAGGAAACTTCTCTGGAAACGAATGAAGGAAGACGAAGGTGCGTGATCGAAAATGGCGGAACTTCTGGTGCTGTTTGGCAAATAGTAGATTGACAAGCAACATGATATGAAGAAGAATAAACACAGTGCTGGATTTGGCTCCCAAACATTGCTCTCGACGATCACCCCCATTCTTAAGAAAATGTACAAGAAGTATTTCACCGGATCTCAAAATTACTAGATCATCCCGGCGAATAGTGGAACGTGTCTCAGTACCCTGTCAATAGAGCCTTGCAATGACCTGTTTCCGAGGCGGGTTAATTTTCAGTGAACTGAAAGCCCATTTAGTGGTCAGAACCCTAATTGGACCGATATGTAACATTCCATGTAAAGCCCACTGACGTTCCTAGCAAATAACCAAGTTGGAAACTAATACTTTTTAATGAATAATTATTGGTTTTAGCTATATATTTTTTATTATAATTATTATTTATAGTAATACTATGATAAATTTGTATTGTGTATTAAAAATGAATTATTCAAGCAAAATAAACGTATTATAAGTGTTTTTATATAATACGTATGTTTGTTTAGTAAGAAATTGACACAATACTATAAGTGTATTAAAGTGTGCGATAAATATATTATCCATCAATAAAACTTGTTTTATAAATTTATTCTCTATAATATGTATTATAAGTGTTTAGTGAAAGTAAATATTTTCTTTACGTAAGTTCCTCCAAAGAAATTTTTGGATTATTCTTATTGAAATTGGTCTTTAATTTTTGTTTTTATTGTACATCTAATAAATATTATGAATTATTTTGAATAAGATAATACAAACGAACGCAATCTAATAAGGAGATTTTGATCAATTTTAGCATAGGTAAATCAAATTAATGTTAAATATTTAAAATTAAAGTTCATTGAAGCAAACTTATATAAAAAAGGGAAAAGGGTCTGATATACCCCTTAACTTTGTCATTTAGAGCTGATATACCCATCGTTATGAACGTGGCTCATATATACCCCTGCTTATATATAAATGGCTCACATATACCTTTTTTCTCTAACGGAAATAAAAAAAATTAATTTCAAGTTAATTTTTTATTATTTTTAAAAAATATATATATAATCCCATATGAGTATATTTAATCCTCCTCAAACATATATTTTTTAAAAAACTTTTTTTGTTTCAATGACTAATTTAGATTTATTAATTTGATGGTCAAATTTATTTATGTTTCACTAATATTCTTGTAAAACTTATTATAGCTGACCAATTTTTTTTCTTCAAATACAAAAATGAAATTACAATATAGACAAAAAAAAAATAGTTTTAAATTATAATATAGCCACAAAAAAATAGTTTTAAATTTATTTCTTTACACTAAAAAATGAAAGAAAAGAATAAAATAAGAATAAGAAACTCAAATAATTATAATAAAAGAAGTCAAAACATAATTTATGTATGAAAAAGATTAAAATATACCTTGAACTTTGCTAGAAGAATCATATATACCCCTTAATAATTTTTAAGAGAATTAAAAGTCAAAAATATAAATTTAAAACTAACTTTTTCACTTCCGTTAAATGAAGGGTATATGTGAGCTCATTTTGTAACGGTAAGGGTATATGTGAGTTATTTGTATAACGATAAGGGTATATATGAGTCACTTTCATAACGAGGACTATATCAGCTCCAAATGACAAAGTTGACCCTTTTCCCTATAAAAAATAAATTGTATTAAAGAAAGGGGTGTTCGAAGACCAAACCTGTCCTTTCAACATATTTTTGACCCCTCTATCCCCTGCAGCTGCCGTAATCCCCGCCACTGTTTTTCGCCTGTAACAGAAGAGCTCTCTAGGGTTTCAATTCACGTCCGTTTCAGCAGTAATGGGTGGAGGCAACGGTCAGAAAGCCAAGATGGCTCGTGAGAAGAATATCGAAAAGATGAAAGGCGCAAAAGGTATTTTCTTTCTATCCATGGAATGATCTGAACCCAATTTCATCCACATCGTGCTCTTAATTCAATTGGTCAATTAGCCTTGGTTTAAGCCTATTCGATCTCATCGTTAGAATTCGACGTGGCTGAGAGTGCCTTAATTGCTCTTTTTGTTTGTTTAGATGCTGAGATATGATTTTACTTGATCGTCAATCTTTTGGCTTTTTACTAACTCTCTAAAAATCTATATGCAGGAAGCCAACTTGACGCCAACAAGAAGGCCATGAATATCCAGGTAAATCCTTTTTATTTATGCAATTTTAGTATGTAATGGGTAATTACTGAATCCCAATATGTGACCTTGTTAAGCATAAATTGGATGGTCCCAAGCCCAAAAAAGGATTGTGGTAGGATGAAAGCCAACGTGATAATAGTATAACTAGGATGAATAAACCCCAATAGAGCAGGAAGGATAGGATTTTTCACATAGCACACACCAATTGATTTGGGATTGAGGCATAGTTTATTCCTGAATAGAGATGATGAAGGTTAAAAAGATTGTCTTATGTTGCTTCTTTGGATGTCAGAGTGATTTCTTTTGTTCCTTTGGTGATAAAATTGGTTAATGTCTATATTTTGTCTTAATGACCAACACACTCCTCTGCCTTTTCAAGTAAGGAGACATGAAATATAGAAAGCACATATCCTCAAAATCGGAAATATCTACATCATGTAGGCCATTGGAAGGATATAAATCTGTTAATGACTTCATCAGGATAGTCCAGTAGTATCGTAAGAAGAGGGGCATCATATGTTGAAGGCGAGAACCGATCAATCACTCAACAAATCAATCACTTAGATACCCTTACCACCTATAATCTTTTGTTATTGTGTTTGGGCTAGTAACGTCATGGTGTTGAACTTCAATTCTCTTTGTATGAGTTCAAAGTACTTTTCTTCGTATTTCATTATGACAACCCAATAACGGCAATTCTCAATCATGAGTTCCACTGTGTAATCTCCTTTATATGTTCTGTAATTTGGCTCATATAGCATGTGAAATGTTTAGTCCACTCTTCTTATTAGATACTGGCTATGTGGTTCAGTACTCCTATCTTTCTCCTTGGTACTTTGACAATCTGAATTTAGGGAATTCGCTTGTTGTTTATTTGCACATGAAGCTATAGTGGCCTCACACTTGTTGATGTCTTATTGGATTGTCTTTTGTCTTTCTTTTTCCAGCCTTTTAGGCTATTTTCTGTGATACTGTATAATCTCTACACTATTGCCAAAAAAAGTTCTTAGGCTTTCAATAGGAGATCGCCTAAGTAAAGAATGGCATTCAAGTCTTAACAATAATCTTTAATAGTCTATGGCTCTGCTTATCAGTGTCTACACAGATTTTCTCACCGTGTTAACTATTTTTATGTCTTCTTTCAGCCTCTGACAATTCATTAGTGTCTTTAGAATTCATCTTGATTGCTGTTTGCTTTGATCCTTCTCTAACTTGTCTGTATTGTTGCGGATGATGGCAGTGCAAGGTATGCATGCAGACATTTATGTGCACAACGTCAGAGGTGAAGTGCAAGGAACATGCCGAGGCCAAACATCCAAAATCTGATCTCGCTACCTGTTTCCCTCATCTCAAACAATAAACTTAGGTGTCAAACGTGTCTTGTAGAAAATGTTAGTATTATCTCCTATCACTAATCACAAAGTGTCAACCCAAGCAAGATGTAAAATTGTGTATTTGTCCCACACATATACAGGTCGGGCCAAATTTTTAGTTGTGCACTCTGCTCTTTAATGGTTGATATCATATGTGGTATAATTTGGGATTTGTCAATGAATTTGGCGTTGTGTTTTTGTTCAATATGGGTGTGAGATGCGCTCTACAAGGTTACCTTCTTTCATTTAATTTTTGTTAGATGCATCTAGAGAAATTGATAATGGATAGCTGTAATTTAATTTCGCAAGTAGAGAGAAAATCTAAGCACTGTGGCCCCTCCACTGGATGGCCACGAGGTTTGAGGTTCTCCTCCTCAGCAAGGGCTTCTTTTCATTGTTCTATTGCCCTACACCATATCAATGAACTTACACAAAGGACAAACCACCAAAGCTGAATGCAGAAAAATCCAGTACACTGACGTACAAAGTGAACTCCTGAACTAATTTTCGAGAATCTGCTTCTGTTCACATCTAGGGAGGTACCTTGGGGGAAGAGGGGGGGGGGTGACTTTTGACGCCCAACAAGTCACTTCCATTTGCAATCAAGGTCCCGAGCAGGAAATCTACAGAACACTATTTCTCTTGAAATGTTCAATGATGAGGATCTGTAATTCCTGAATTCAGATGTCTGCTCAAGTTCAAATCCACATAGTTCTCACGAATGTCACTTAAATGGATACACAAGGTACATTACACCATAGTTTTTTTTCTTCCCATTAACAGCAAGACAAGAAAGCTACTGTGTCCTCATCCTGCTAGTTTCAGCAGCCCTCACTTGCCCGAAATATGGATGGGCCTAAGAAACAGGGCAGAGAAAGCAGTAAGTAGGTTTCCCAACAGAGTGTTCAATACTATAGTTGTGCAAAACAAAACAAATACATGTATAATGTTCATTGTTAAAAGAAATGATTGAGAGGGGGGAGTGGATTGATTCCAGCAAAGATGCAGATGCAACATCATGACAAAGGAAAAAACATAGCCAAGAGCAGAAACAGAAAGCAATAGGCACTTCACAATCACCAGCTTGTTTCTAACAGCATTTTAAAACCAAAAACTAGTCAAGTTGCGACTCTTCTACCCACTCTTCCTCACTGATCTCTTTCATTTATCTCATTTATAAACCTTACATTTTGGTTTTGGTAAAGTATGATTTAAAACGTCACGAAACCATTTTCTTTAATAAGCAATGGTAAACCAATATAAGACAGAAGCTGAGAAAACAAAGATGAGGCTCAGAGTTTAAAGCTCATTAATAGTGGATAAAAAGGATTACCATTGCTTCTTTTGCCGTAAGTCTAGTCTGATGATCATAACGAAGAAGCTTGTCAAGATAATCTATAGCCTGCAATGAGAACTCAAAATCAATGATCAAATGGGTAGTGAGGAACAGCCAATTGGGATTTTGAGGTGTACTTGTCACCATTGTTGGTTTCGTCTTATTCAGAAATACCATAAATACATAAATAGAGAGAGAACAATACCTCTGGTGACACTAGATGCTGATTGTCTGCATTAATAAATTTGGACCACGGCTTCCTACTGTGTCTGCAGGGGAAAGACAGATTGTATTCACCTTCAATAGCTAAGAATTTTGGCTGTAAATGAGGACACACTTCTGCTAAACCTAGTTACTGAGATCAGCTTAGTAACCCTATTTAGTCACAGCTCTAAGTTATTTTGTAATTGCCTTAGCCTAGTTTTATCTTGGCGATAAGGGTAGAAACAAGAAAGCAAGAAGCATACCTCCCAACCATAGCCTCTAGCTGAGGATCAAGCTCTAGTTGATACTTGTGCAAATATGCATTCAACTCATCTGTCCCAAGGACCTATAACAACAATAATCTATCAAATCCATGTCAAGCAGCTATACGTTACTTTTATATAAATTGAGTGTTCACTTGCAACTAAAGTAACAACTGCATTGGTTGTTTTCAGTTGATTAACCTCCCCCCTCATTCAAAGAACAAAATTAAGGTATATAAACCCATTGGTTAGTTACTAGGCATTACCTTTGCAATTTTGACGAGCTGATCCTGATTATCATGGCCATAAAAGAAAGGTTCCTTGCGGAAAATCTACCAAAGAAAAGGTATGGTCAGGCAAAAAGAAAATTGATTCCAAACAAACAAATACAAACTTCTAACAAGTTCTTTCTGATGTTTATAGTTTCCCAGGCCCACAACTGATGCCTTAAAACTATAAACCAACTGACAGCTTATATTATGAATCATAAAATTTCTCACCATTCCTGCAAACATGCAGCCAAGGCTCCACATGTCCAAAGAATAGTCGTAGTCTTGCAAGTCAACTAGAAGTTCAGGTCCCTTGAAATATCTGAAGTGCAAGAAAAGAAGACCTCAGACTTGCTTCAATAGCCTTGATAGTTTATGAACCACTAACTTACAGTGCGAAACCAATTTCCCATATGCAACTATGCTGATAAAGAGTTAGTTTGACCTAAACAATTCCTAACCTTCTCCTATAATCCCATTGATTGTTTAAGTATTCATTAATTGGGTATGGTGCAGAAGCAACTTCCACTCTTTGTAAGCCATCTTAGTGACGGATTAAAATGGTTCACTACAGAAGTTCATTTTTACCTTAACAATAAATGCATGCAACCTAATTCTGCTACTATACATAAGTGAACAACATCTAGAAAGTAACGGTTTTAGAGATAAGTGAAAGTAAGAGTGGATATATGCATTGCAAGATTAGTCAACATAAAGAAGAGTGAAATTGAGATGAAATTAGATGAGATTGCAATGCCTAAATGCAAACATTCAGAATTTTAGGCTCACTGTTCCAGGAAAAGGAGTAATAGAGGAAGATGTTACACGTAAAATCAAATTGAACAGTTGAAATGGGGAAGTGCTATTTGAATGTAGTAATAGACAAAGATGTTACAAATAAAATCAAAATCTAACGGTTGAGCTTTCTCCTTTCTATTTCTTGCGGGCTATTGATTTCGGGTTGAGACTTTGCTTGCTTACTTTTTTTTTTTTTTTTGAGAATGGTAAAGTTGACTTTGCTTGCTTACTTTCACGCTTCCTTCAGTGAGCTAGTGCTATAGTAAATGTTATGCGATAGCAGGATGCCTACCAAAAGTGAAAGGTAAGCTCTATAGAACAGCTATAAGACCAATAATGTTATATGAGAGTGAATGTTGAGCCACTAAAAGTTTACACATCCACAAGATAAATGTTGCAGCTAAGATAGATGAGTTATCATACAAGATTAGAGAACTGATCACATTCGCGAGAAGGATCAAGTAGCACACATCAGTGATAAAATGAGAAACGGTTGCTTGAGATGATTTGGTTATGTCTTGCATCAACCCCTCCTGATGCACCGACTCCTAGGTGTGAAACCATGGTGAGTGAAGGTGTTAAAAAAGGAAGAGGTAGACCTAAAATCACATGGAAGGAAGTTGTCTCTACGGACCTATAATTCTAGGGATCCATGCAAACTTACAGAGAGGCACAATGGAAGAAAAAAATCTATATAGGCACTACATATTAGTCGAGAATATACTAAAATGTCAGGAATCTTACTGTAGGTCCTATACTTTCTGGGAGTGGTTTAGCTTTTCAGAAGTTTGTCCCTTGAGAAAACATAGAGATTCTATAAAAACTTTATCTGTGTTTGCACAGTATGTGCAAGATATGGGTTTAAATGGAGTAACATGGACAACAAAAATCATATAACCGACCCCTACTTGTTTGGAGCTGAAGGGTTGTTGTTGTATATGTAAGTGAATGATGTTCCTTTTATTACTTCTAACTTACAAAATCTATAGCAAAGTCACTTGCTTTCTGATTAAAAACTCATGACTTGTCCAGAGAACAATTTGCAAGTAGAGCACGGATCTACAGATAGAGAAGCTATATGTAGGAAGTTGTTGCTGGCAAAGCAACTATGCCAGGTCCAGCCATACTGTCGGCAGATTATCTCACCTTGAAGCCACACGAACATTATATTCCTTCCCTGGGTGGTAAAACTCAGCAAGACCCCAATCTATCAAGCGAAGCTTCCGCAGTTCATGATCTATCATAACGTTATGAGGCTTGACATCCCTATGCATTATTCCCTGTGAATGGCAATAATCTAGTGCCTGCAGGTTGATAAGAAGTATCAGTTTCCGACCTCCATAAATTGGTAAGCATGTCAAGAAATGTATACAAAGAATAGGTCCCAAAGAGTATTAAACAACTGTCACAAGAAATGCTATGATCAACTGAAGGCCTCAGCAAATTCAACAGTCATGCCAAAAACAATGAGTCTTTCTTTTCTTTCAAAAAGAAGGGGAAATTAATAGAGTAAATTAAGCGACTGGAAAAGTAAACATGCAGGAACAGAAATAACTTTTCAGCATAAAGCATTTGACAAACAAGAAACGATGAGTTGATACACAATGAGAAAGCTTGAAACGATGAGCTGATACACAATGAGAAAGCTTGGGAAGTTAAATTTCTTTTCTTTTTTTCACAGAAGAAGGCAAAAGAAAGGAAACCTAGACATGTTTCTGCTCAGGTAGGCTGGTGATTTAGGCATGTAGCAAAAAGGAAGACCTAACTTCGAGATAGAAATCAACAGGATCCCATAATTAGCATCCCCATTTCCAAATAGTTCCTCTCACGTAAATCAGACAAAACATGGAATATAATATTACTCATGAAAAAGGAAATTAAAATATAAATAGCAATTAGCAAACAGAGGACAGAATATCCATGGCATTGGTGATTTTTTTTCCTAAACCAACTACACGATCAGAAGAATACAAGGAAGTTACTTAAGAAATCCAAATTCAGTAAAGAAAATCACATTGTTAAAGAGTAACAAAGAGCATAGCCGTTCTTCTAGATATAAAAATCAACTTCCAATAGGCATGCAGTGAATCTAAATCATATCGTCTGATAACAAGAGACGAAGTAAACACTTAACTACGAGGTCATTTACCTTGTAAAAACACATTCAGAAGCTATACTTAGACCTAATTGCAGAGGAAAGGTAATCAATTGGAATGACCAAGACAGTAAATGAGCTGACAATATCAATAAGAAAAATCTACATTTTTGTTGATGGATTTGAAATCCATGTATTGGCATGCAGGATAAGGTGAACAAATATGAGTTTTCAGTCTTA